GGGAAAAAGCCCGCGAGGATGTAGCGTGCACGCTCATTTATCACAGCCCATCAAGCGGCGCGTACGATCCATCAGGTGAGAATAAGTCCGCTTCTCACAACACACACACAAAGGAGCTGCTGTAGGTCAACATGTGAAGGGTGTAGATTTTCTATTTCTTTTAACACACCACACACGAGCTCTCAAAACCTCAAAAAAGCCAAATTCTTTTCACGACGTGAACTTGTCGAAGCACTTCCATTGCCACCGGGAAGGCAGTTCAATAAAATCCATGGCCTTCTACCGGAGAATGCACGACTCAACTCGGGGCAGGAAACAACATTGTGCTCGCATTAAAGTCACGTGCTACAATAGCTCTCGTCTGTAAGGCAACCTTCACACCATATTGTTAACAATCCACATGCGTCCTTGTCAGTAATGTACCGTTCCTGATAGAGTAAACAACTATAGCTCTTATCCAGAGGTGCATTTGACAGACCCTAAGTGTGTGTTGACTCGCACCTCAAGTCATTTGCTATCCATTAAGCATTACCCACACGTGGTGTTGTTATAGAGGACGAAGGCGTCGTCACACCGACACAGAACCCTCATCAGTGAGTGCAGCAGTAGCAGCTGCTACTGCTGCTGCAGCCACGGCGATGCCACAACACACATTTGTGGTGTCGCTACAAAGACTGTGGCGCGCAAGAGAGCGTCCGAGGCGCGTGCAGTGGATTGGCCTAAGCAGCACAAAAGCAAACCAGGAAGTATTTTGGTGAATGTTCACATACTATTGGCGTATCGGTATTATCAGCCACGTTATCCTACAGTTGATCATCCACTCTACCTGCCCAGCGTGTGTCCATGGTTCACAATTGCTATAGACAAATCCAGCGCATCCCATATCTCAGCTACTTGGTGCATCACACAGCAGGTCAGCCACTACAAAAGCAAGCGGTGCATGCAAGTGACCAAACAAAAACTACCACCGCAGCAAGAAAAAAAAAGCCACACAGCTTGCCCTTAGGGAGTACACAGCTAGTTCAGGGTGGGGGGTGGGGGTGGAGGTGGTGATTGTGCTGGGCTGAGCAAAGGCGGGAGGAATCCAGCAGCCGAGAACAAGCAGACCAAACCGCGGATCATATTTCCTTGGCGAGCGTCAGTCAACTGACTTGCCTGCTGCTGCTGCCTGCCCTCGCTCACCCTCCTCCATCTTACTCCAGAGGCGGGCCTGGCACCATTGGCTGTCCAGCTGACCGGGCCGTGCGTCCCGACTACCCCCGTCTAGCTCTGGATAGACTGGGTGTGAAAACATAGCAGCCCATTGTCCGTACAGTTGAAAGGGCCCGCGGGCTCTTTTGGATGTCTTTATAGAGTAGGATGTCTGGATTAAAAGTCTGGCTGGCTGGTGAAGCTGGCAACAGGTCTGGCAGTGGCACAAAGTGAGGACTTTTCAACTAAACGGGCCAACCTGTTGGCCTTTCTTTTAAGTGTTAATTACTTAATTGGTGACAGATTGCTCAGATAAGAGTTTCACACTAGACACGTATCACTATGTGTGTGCGTATATATAGATGGTCCCTATGACTAGGATACTACTGATTTCTGTTTTACCCTAAGAATAGTGACATTGCTTTAGTCTTGACTCGGAGCCTCGGGGAATAACCATGCACCAGAAAGCTCTGAAAGATGCCTTATAGCCTAGTTCTCTGAACCGTGAACATTATCACTGAACCCTAAAGGTACCTTGTGGTCTAGTTCGACTTGCCTTGGGGACATTAACACGGAACCCTAAAAGTAGTTAAGGAGCTTTTATCGCCTTTAGTTAAAACGGCGCTTATTTTATAAGGAAAAGACCAAAGTGGCAATGCAGAATCCTCTTTCAAACTGTTGTGACAAGATAATGCTTGCCTGGATAAATAATATATGGCATTGTCATAATAATGTCTAGTTTTTGTGCACTTAAATTGTCACTTTATGCATATATATACTGTACATCTGCTATGCATGATATTTTCTCATTCATAAACATAATGTAAATATGAAATAAAAAAGCAAGTTCACTATTTTCAAGGTCACACACTCCTGCCTTTGCTCGTTGACCTGTTAAACTTAAGCACTGCACGTTAAGTTAGCCCCTCAACATGTACAACTTGCTCAACCTCCGATTAGCACGGTTGGCTACGAACAGTGCGAAAGAAGTTCAACATACAGAGTTGAACAATGCAATCCAGTCAATACAGAGTCATAGTATGGAAACATTGAGTATATGTAAAGAAGAGGGGACCCTTAGCAACCTGTACATATTAATTGACTAGAAGGACACTTTCAGCAGTTGACTGCCAGCACCAAAAAGTAACAAATCGAGTGGAGGGTGTAATCCAATAAACTTAAACGTCACTTTTCCATAAATTGCGTATCGAGTGGCACCCCTCCTCCTACAGCACATGCCTTTGACTGGCAACAAATGCAAGTTAGCCTTGATGCATAACGCGCATTACGTCCCTTGCGTAGTGGATTTGTGTATTGAAATAATACAAATGTTCATCCCATCAGTCCTGTGGACTTTTCTTAAGCGGCCAGGAGCAGTTGACTTCCTTGGTCTCATCGATAGCGAGGCTTGCCCGATGCCATGTGGGCAAGAGCCCCCCCCCCCCAACAAACACTGTGGTGCTTCAAAGCAAAACGTCACGACCACGCACAAGTTTACCGTAAGCTCTTGTGGTGGTGAATTGCATGTAATTCAGGAGAAAAGAGGGGCATTTTTTGTTTTCACCAAGTAAAATTAACAATACATTGGCGATTCAATGGCTTTTGACGCACCAACGTTGTTGGTTCACTCTTTTTTCAGCCACGTTCGTTTCGGCAGGCAAATCTGGATGGACCAGCTTTCACATTCTCAATCCCCATTAGCAAAGTGCAGCCGGTTAAACCAACGCTGTAGGGATGCCTACTATTTTTATCTTCATGCGATAAAAAAACACCATTGTAGGATTCAAAATCCAAAAACACTATACAGTATGTTAACAAGATGGTAGTGTGACCAACCCTCTTGATGGTACAGAAACATGGAACACGCACAGGTAAAACAATTCCCATGAAGGAAATATGGTAACCACAGCAATGAAGTTCCTGCAGAATATTCTGCAAACACGGTCTTCAAGAACATCTCGCAAATAAAGAGACATTAGCAGAAGTTGCTGTAGTTCAGGGCATGATAATAAGAGGTGAGACTGTGGATGTGGTCAGAACAAACTTGTTATATTATGAAACAAAGTGCTTTGAAAAACAGGAAGTGAGAGAACAAATCAGAGGGAGAACAGACCAAAGATGGGTGGATTCTGTGAAGACCTGAAGTGACATGGAAATCACAGAAGGTTTTGGCCTAAACCATCTAACAAAAGACATTTACTGCATAGCACCGCTTTCAGATGCGCTTCTGCGGCCGTCTGGAACGCTCTTCCTTCTGACATTAGGAAGCCACCAGAGCCATGCACTTTTAATCATTTAGATTGAAAACTAATTTCTTTAGAAGTGCTCCGAGTTTAGTTTGTTGTCCTTCCCAGCACCTCCGATTAGCAGTTAGCTACGCATGGTGCGAAAGAAGTTAAACATAAATAGGAACTAGGAGAATGAAAACAAATATGAACAGTTGAAAGCTAAAAATTCAACCCAATGGCAGATGGAGTAATTAAGTTGAAAAATAAATCCATCACACCCATGCATAAATAACATTTTGTACAATTTTTATTTACTGCACCGAATGAGACCCATGGGTATGCAAAGGCTTTTGCCAAAATGAGCTTAATGCTGTTTGTTTTCACTCGCCACACTGCTGATGACACTCCAAAAGTCGAACCAGGTCTATTTTTTTCCCATTTAAATAAAAAAAATGGATGGTGGAAAACCCTACTTCAGAAAGCTCGGCATGATAAAAGTAATGAAATTTGCATACAGTGAAACACACATGTTTAGTGTAGACTTTTTACGTGTGGACGTATTGGCGCGGTCTGTGAGATGCACGCAACACCAGTTTATGAGCACCTGTATCCATCGGTCAAGGCGCCAGTCAGAGTAATGCACTGGCCAGGTTGTTTAGCTGTATGTTTATCTATCAGTTCGTCCATGTGTCGTCCCGTGTCAGTTTGTCATGCCATTTTGCCTTTATCAGTTTACGGGTGTGCGATGTGCACGGATGCCTCAATGTGAGACTGTGCACAAACCGCTCTCTCTCTCAATCTGTGTGTCCAAGTACATATGTCATTCTTCTTGGCATATATATATTCCTCTCTAAATACTGCATCTGACAGTGTCAGTTAGGTTTGCATGTCCCGGCATGTGTCAGTATGTGAATCTGCTTTTCTCTACCGCTGTGCGTGGGATTTTGGGATGTCATTAAGAGTTCACCCAGGTGACAGCAAAACAACCATGTTTTTTACGTGCCTCTTTATCTGTATGCATATATAAGCCTGCTTTGTGCCAACACTTTTGCACCTCTGTGCGTCTGTGTGGGCACACAGTACTTCATTTGACAAGTCAGAATGTGCCCCTTATAGCTTCTGAAAGTACTGTATGAATGTATCCTATTTCAGTTAGCGTAAATATTTCGAAGAAAATGCTTCGACTTGTGAAGATAATTCCATTTTGAGGATACGCCTTTTTTTTGCTTACTTTTAAAATTCGTAATTTAATACATTTGTTGAAATAAATATGTTCAGTTTACTTCATGCAAACGGTTCTTGCACTTGTCAATGCCACTTCACCTGTGCATTCAATCTGTTCGAGGCTGTCTGTCCAATGAAAATCGCACTCCCTCGGCGAGCACAGAGCAGTCAGATAGGTCATCGTAGATGAATGTGCGCAGATAGACACCGAGGTGGTGTGTGCACTGCAAGGGGTGCAATAGGTGTGCATTGGATTGTGTACTTGTGAACGCATGCACGTGCACACGAGGTACTCTGGGATAGATCGACTCGCATGGCTCGCCATCTGGACAAGGGCTACGAGCCCTGTGCATTCACCTCTAAGTTCAGGATGAATGACGTCCCCGAGGTTGGGCTGATCACCCCACCAGTAAACCCACAGCTCCTTGAGGCCCGGACTGCCATTGCGGCGCCACACGGCCAGGAGGTTGGTCTGCAGCGAGCGCACGAAGCTGTGCAGGATGGGGTCTTCCTGCGCGGGCGCAGCAATCACAGGCCCCGAGGCCCCAAGGCCACAGGTGTACCTACGCCATTTGATGCCGGTCAGGTCAGCCTGTAAGGTGGTGGTTGGGGTGGGTAGTACAAGTTGGGAGGGGGAGGGAGGGGGGAAAGGCAACACTGAAAATCATGCAGACTCACGCATAGGACACAAGGCATGTGAACCATACAGAAGTGCAGATGATAATTCCTTCATCCACCGCGTGCGAGTGCTGTGTGTGCGTGGTAAATGCATTTCTACACGAACGCAGACTGACATGAGCAGCGGGACACATGCGTGTGCTGCACACTGTACATAGATGCATGTCGGCATTCATATTAAACCGTCACTGAAAAACTTAAGGTGAAAGCATGCAAACTTGCCAATGCTGCTACGTAGACACGTGTAGAAATGAGAACATCATCATAGATGTAGGAACCAATAATACCAACATGTGCACGTACGGTGCACACGTGCAGGAATGCACAACGCACGTAGGTAGCCAAACGTGTACACATCTTGGTTGGTAAAAGTGCACGCACGTCAGATGACTCGCGTATAGGTACACGGGTACATACACAGAAGACACGCCGACACATACGTATACCTATCCATGCAAACGAGTGCACGACCGGGGGTACTTCTACACCTCTGATTAGCACGGTTGGCAACGTACGGTGCGAAATAAGTTCAAACACGCATTACGTACGAACGACGGATGAAGCTACTGTACTCACGCACACCATTAAGAGACTTGAACACTCACAACAGGAGCACACACGGCCACTCATTCACACTCTCCACACGTGAATACACACATGCACTGTGAGCACATCACATCCCATGCATATTCAAATGCACACATGTACGCTCAAGACACAAGCACTGGCAGACATTACCTAGACAGTACATCCACGCGCACTCGTTTAAGTCTGGCGAAGACTCGGGCAAGCGAGTTTTGTGTTGAGAATACACAAATGCGCGCGTGTACATGCGAACATAACTAACGTAAGAACACGCATGTGCAGCCCACGGCTTGCGTACACCAATGACGTGTGCTGCTGTCACACCGACACTTCTGCACACCACAGGACACCAGGCAAAGATAGTCGATAATTGGTAGATGGCACGTACGCGTTCCCACAGCACTTCGTTTGCAAACACGACCACAAGACTGGGGCCGCCGTAGTAACGAAGTAGAAAAGGGCCGATACAACCCCCGAAATAATAAGTCGGAGTTAGGATAGTTGGAATGGATTGTGACGCTCTGCTTGTACGCGAGTTTTATTCTCGGAAGTATTAAATTATAAGTATGGAAACCAAATAGTCGAGCATATTTGCAATTTGTCATTTTTGCTCTGCTTTGTAACTCCATAGTTGTAAGCAATGATTTGACCAATCTGGTCGCTTTTTGATAGGCACAGTCTTTAAATATCATGGCAACTTTACACGAAAGTTCCATTCATACTGGATCACCTTTACTCGAGTTATCGTGTCTCCCCGCCGTTTCAGACAAATGGCCAGACGAAGTGAACCGATGCACAAAAGCTCTAAACCATTGACGGAGAGCTTTCACGAGACACAAAACTAAAACTGCGATAGTTTTAAATGCAGGAGTGGATTTGGAGAGAGTTGGGTACGGGGGGAAGGGCCGGCGGTGGGCCACCCTCTCCGGCCTGGGGCGAGACGAGGCCCTCTCATCGGTTTCGAGGCGGTCGGGCCTACACGTCCCGCGGGGAGGCCTCAACGGCAAGGCGGCAGCGCATCCAGGCAAGAGCGGGGAGGTCGTAGGAGGGGGGGGGGTGAGAATCCCCGAGAAAAACAACGCGAAGCCCCACGAGCTAGCTCCACCTCGCCGGGGGGTTTGATAGATGGGTGGGGGATAAAACCACCACCACCCCCCCCCCCCACTGAGTAAATCCTCGCACGACGGAGCGAACGTCGCAACAATAGGTGTTAAAAAAAAGATGTTAACGCACAAAAATTAACATAATGATGACGATAATAAAATAAATTATCACTCGCAAGAAAATGGCCGCTGTAATGATTCTAGAAGCGGGGCGGTAATTCTAGCGGCGCGGACTCTCCCGCCGTCCGTCCCGTCTCTCTCTCGTCTACCGCCGTCCTTCGACGTCGTTGTCGTCTCCGTCTCTCTCTACCACCACCACCACCACCACCCCACCACCACCACCACCAAAACCTTCCCCTCCCCGCCGCTTCTCCGTCCTGCGGCGTTCTCTGAGCTCGCTCGGCGGCGGCGGCGGCTCTGCGCGTGTGGACACGGCGCTCGCTCGCTCGCCCGGGTGGCTTCGCTCGCCTTGTCGCTCTCCTCTCTCTCCTCTCTCGTTCTCTCTCGCTCGCTCGCTCACGGCCGCCCCGGCTCGCTTACCAGGGAGAAGAGGTTGGAGTGGCAGTCTTCCAAACTGGCGCCGTTTGCCACCCAGCTTGCGGCGGTCATGCTCCGTGCATGACTCTGGGCCCCGCGGCAGGAATTCTTGGTTCTCCTCGCTTTTAGCAGTCCACCAGTCTTTACCGCCAACAACCAACCAACCACCGCCGCTGCTGCTGCTACTAGTTAGTACTTACTGGTTTACTACTACTACTACGGCTGTGTGTTTATTCGACAAGCGAAAGGTTTAGCACGGACGGCTAATAAAAAAAAGAGAGAGGCGAGATCAATTTCCTCTCAACTCCGCCGCCGCCACCGCCGCCGCCGCCGTTTTGATGGCGACTCGCTGTGGTCGCCCTCGCGAGTCGCCGTCGCTATTCGCGTGAGAGCGAACGAGCGAGCGAGAGAGACGCGGGGGGATCGGTGGTGAAGGCGCCTGGCGCTGCCGTCCCTGCCACAGCGCCCACGACTCGCGCTGTAATGGCGACAATAATGAGGCGGGCCCCTCCCCCCCATCCCCCCCCCTCGTAGCCCCTCCCCCCCCTCAACCAACCCTCCACAACCCCCGCCCCCTCATCCCCCGGCACACCACCCCGTCCCCCGCATGCCGAAGTCTCCTCCCCTTCCGCTCCTGCGGTGTCCGCGCGACGCTATTGGCGGGTTCGTAGTCGCGTGACGGCTGAGGGGGCACGCGAGCAGCCTTGTGGGGGTGGGGGGGGCTAAAAGGGGGGAGGTTGGACCCTCACCCCCTCCCCTCAGCTCCACAACCCAATCCGAGCCCCGCCCCTCCCAACGGGCGCGCGCGTGCCGTAATGGCAGTGTACGGCGGGCGGGCGGGGGGGGGGCACCGGAAATGAAGGAGGGGGATTTGAGAACGGGAAGGGAGATGGAGACCGGAAATAGAAGTGGGGTGGGAATTGGGGCGGGCGGGGGGGGTTGAGGGGAGGGGTACGGCGGAAATGGAGGGGCGGGAGAGCGGAAGTGGAGGCGGGGGAATAGAGGGAGCGGGGGAGGGGCGAAAGGGAATGTGAGGGGGAGGGAGAGGGGAGGGGCTGTGTGGGGAGAGGGGGGGGGCTGTGTGGGGAGAGGGGGGGGGGCTGTGTGGGGAGAGGGGGGGGGGGGCTGTGTGGGGAGAGGGGGGGGGGGCTGTGTGGGGAGAGGGGGGGGGGCTGTGTGGGGAGAGGGGGGGGGCTGTGTGGGGAGAGGGGGGGGGCTGTGTGGGGAGAGACCTTTTTGGTTATAAATATGAAATTGAAAGCTCGTAAACACACAGATACATTTTACACACTACGTCAATACCGAGCTTAGACCTATATTTATTTAGACCCAGAGAGAGAGGGAGGGAGAGCGAGAAATAAAAAAAACCCACAGAGCTACAAAGGGACAATAAAAGAACGTGAAATTTAAACTTACGCGTGAATGCAATACTTTGATTTGTTACAATTTACAACAATTTCCTTGTCAACAAAAAAAGAAGCGTATTGGTTGTCGGCATGGTTTGAGTGTGCCGGCGGTGCTACTGCGGGAGGGACATTGCCTGGGGAATGAAAATCCCTGAATGATGGGCAAGTAGTGAAGCAATCAGTTTTTAGTAAAAAAACTGAGTTTTTTTGGGGGGGGGGCAGCGAATGGTCTCCCAGCTTGAGAAGGAATCTTGTCGCTGGCGACATCACAGAGTTGCTGCTGGTGGGGTGGCTACGGGGTAGCGAGTTGTGTGTGTCTGTGTGTGTCTGTGTGTGTGTCTGTGTGGCTGTGTGTGTGTGTGTCTGTCTGTGTGCGTGTGTCTGTGTGTGTGCATGTGTCTGTGTGTGTGTGGCTGTGTCTGTGTGTCTGTCTGTGTGTGTCTATCTGTGTGTGTGTGTCTGTGTGTGTGTCTGTGTATCTGTCTGTCTGTCTGTGTGTGTGTCTGTCTGCGTGTGCGTGTCTGTGTGTGTGTCTGTGTGTGTGTCTGTCTGCGTGTGTGTGTCTGTGTGTGTCTGTGTGTGTGTCTGTGTGTCTGTGTGTGTCTGTGTGTGTGTCTGTGTGTTTCTGTCTGTGTGTCTGTGTGTGTCTGCGTGTTAAGGCTATACGGGGGATCTTAGTATCTGTGCGTGTGCGCCTACCGCGCCACTCCGACCAATCGCACACCACGATTACGTAATTCGCCTTCCTACGGTCTTGGGGAGTTTTTTTCCCTCTGTCTCCTCTGTCTCTCTCTCTCAAACACATGCCGAAGTGTCTGTGCTGCTGCTGCTGCTTTCTAGAGATGCTTACAGTGTGGTTGTCTCGTTAGCTACCTGGAGTGCAGAGTCTGGGTGTAATTGCACCTAAGCCCTGCCAGTCAGTATAGCTTACACTGCCGAGACCCATAAACTAACATAGAACATGCAGTACATATAGGAGGACACTTATAGACTTACGTAAGACTTTCTGTTTGACTATTGTGTCTTTTTATTTTATACCAGGTAAGGCCTATTACAGTGTAGCTCTTTTTCAGAAGCCACCTGGCGGTCGCAAATGACAAACTCGGTGAAGTTGGCGGCTTATATCGTCGCGGGGAATTTATAGCGGTAAAATAAATACTCAATTAAAAGCGTGGTGATGTTGATTCTAAATGTGTGGGGTGAGGGGGGAAAAATTAACCCGTAAAAACAAAGTTTTTCACTCTAAATCCTTTATATGCCATGGCATCGGGGCGGCTTGAGTCCTCTCGTCCTCTGGCTTGAGATGGCTGCCACCTATGGGTCAGATGATTGTCTGGCAGCATTAAACAATTGGTGATTAAATATTTTTTAAAAATTCCCTAAACAGTGTAAAATTTTGGAATTTTTTTTTTCACGAAAATGCATTGTCACGCACAACGAGTCTGTGTGCAAAATGTCAGCTCGATTGGATCACGGGAAGTGGGTTAAAAACCGACCGAAAGATTTGCACGGTCCTAAGCAAGCGAACTTAATATAAAGGATTTAAAAACACCCACGCGACCACGGGAAGAGAGAGAGAGAGGCACCGCAAACTTCACATTTAGAGCAGGCGTCAAAGATTGGGATCGAACCCACGAACTCCGTGCATACCAGGCGAGGTAGTTAACATCTCGCCACCGTGGTGCCCCCAAATGAATTATTCCAGAAAAAAATATACCCACATTTTCCTTTTTAGCCACCTCCTGCCTTCTAAAAAAAACAGTCGTGAGATTCTGTGAGGTTTTCCCGGATAAAAAAAAATACAAGAATAACTTCATAGTATTGCACCCATACAATAACCTGGAAGCCTGCCTTAGTGTAGCTGTAGAGTGTGCAGGCGGTGCAACTGCGGGGGGGCCCACGGTCTTGAGGGGGCAGGCCCCCCAATTTAATCATTTGCAAGAGGGCTCATGAAAACCACTGCTACGTTCTTGCTAGAGCTGTACGTACAGCGCACACTGATTCATAATTGTTTTTTTTTTACACGCTTTCTTTTAACTCACTCTGTTGTTGTCGTTGTTGTATCCTCAAATCTTGTAACTCAATTTTAACCCACTTCCCAATGTGGTATCGACTGCAAACTTGGGAAACTTATGTCATACTGATGACAGTACTATATTCTATCATAAAAAATGTTTTAATATATTTCTAAAAATTCTTTTAACTGACGTTGGCTGAAATTGGCCACAGTCCCTTACGTTATGGCAAGCTTCGGGGCCACTTTCTGGAGTCGTGGAATTCTGCCATTACTAGTAAATTTCATAAAAGCGTGTTTTAAAAAAAAAATTATATTACTTATTTGGGTTTAGATCGCCGCGTGAGTGCATTGCCAATGTGTGTGCGTGTTGTGTCGTGCACCGTCATCCACCCGGCAGAAGCCACTTGAAGTTGTCACGTGAACAAAAGTGTGCCGGTTTTGTTTGCATCAGCAGGCCGGTGTGGATGGAGAGCGACCTGCCAGATTCAACAATTAGGGCTACAGGCGTTTTGTTTCAGGAGCAGCAATTACAACCGGCATCACGCGATCTTTATGACTCACGCAATCTGGATTTGAAGCTTTCGTGACTGCAAGGATTCATACTCTTAGGTTTTTTCGGTAAAGTCACGTAGGTAATAAATAAATAAAATAAATAATATTACTAAAATAAAAAATGGAAATAAATAATAATAGAAATCATTTTCTTTATTATTTATATTATTTTTATTATTTCTGTTTTTTACCTACGTGACTTTACCGAAAAAACCTAAGAGTATCACGCAATCTGACCCAACAATTTGACGATAAATCGTAGCGTTGATCGCGAAAGCCTGCACGTGTTAAATGGTGTACACTCCTTCCACAGTTCATGCCGAGTTAGCAATGTTTCTACTGCATTTTTATTAAACTCTCGCTAATCGAAAAGCAAATATCCACTCTTAATTTGAAGCTTTCGTGACTGCAGGGATCCATACTCTTTGGTTCTTTTGGTAAAGTCGCATAGGTATAAAAAATAAAATAAAACAAAAAATTATATATCACGACGTTTCGATCGCAACACAAGCTATCTGACTATCATTTGTTATTGTTTTAATTAAACGCCCGTTATCATCACCATCATAATCTCTCATGGTCAAGCCACTGTTGGACGAGGTCCCTCGGTGACAAGCAGTGCCGGATTAAGCGAGTGCGGGGTCTGTAGTACATGTTATAAAGGGGCCCTAAATTTAAAATAACACAAATACAACACATTTTAACTTGCATAGTAAAGTAACTATTTTTTTATTTGCTATACAGCCAGATAATACGACAAACCTCGAACCTTAACATCCAGTCGTTTATAAACGTTGAAGGCGGTATAGTACTATAGTAATAGAGCAAGTGCAGAATCACTGAACCGGAATTGATAGCTTGGAAGCATTTAGCGCGGGGCCCTTGAAAGTGCGTGGCCCGTAGCATTTGTAGCTACTGCTGCTACTGGAATCATCCGGCACTGCATGCCACCGACCAATCTACCACTGGCACGAGCACGCCAGCTGATCTCAAAAGCTCCACCAACTTCTTGGATGCCCTCTCGCGCGCGTTCACTCACCCTGGCTGCGAACTCCGTCACTATTCCTCACCATTCTTCGTCCCCATCCCTTCTAGCCCTTAACCCAGCCTGCCCAAGCCCACTTTTAATTGAATGCTATGCCCTGGAAATTGAATACGGACTCCCGGATTCATGGCCGATACAATATTGGACAACGAATAGACACTAATCGACTTCACGGTATCAGATCATTGACTTATAATACAAAACAAAAACTTGCGCAAAGCCATTCTAACAGCTCAGCAAGGCACATTTCGATCCTGCGACCAGAGTTTCACTTCCATAAATCTCTTGCTCCTACATGTTTGCACAGTTTTTTTCTTTTTCGATTTACGACAATTTGTGTCACTGTTGGCCAATAATAGAGAGCTTACTTGCACATATACCCAACTTTTCCTGGCTCACGTCACGTTCGCATTGACTCTTTGATTCGCGTGTGTTTCGTTTATTAGCACCAAATACCAACAACGTCTGTTTGTTGTGCAACA